TAGTCCTCCCCAATCCTGTCTCTAGTCCTCACCAATCCCGTCTCTAGTCTTCCCCAATCCCGTCTCTAGTCCTCCCCAATCCCGTCTCTAGTCCTCCCCAATCCCGTCTCCAGTCTTCCCATATCCCGTCTCTAGCGTTCCCCAATCCCGTCTCTAGTCCTCCCCAAATACGTCTCTAGTCTTCCCAAATCCCATCTCTATGCTCCCCAATCCCGTCTCAGTCTTCCCCAATCCCATATCTAGTCCTCCCCAGTTCCGTCTCTAGTCCTCCCCAATCCCATTTCTAGTCATCCTCAATCCCGTCTCTAGTTCTCCCCATTTCCGTCTCTAGTCCTCCCCAATCAACTCTCTAGTCCTCCCCAATCCCGTCTCTAGTCCTCTCCAATGCCGTCTCTAGTCCTTCCCAAAGCCCTCTCTAGTCGTCCCCAATCCCTTCTCTAGTCCTCCCCAATCCAGTCTCTAGTCTTTCCGAATCCCGTCTCTAGTCCTCCCCAATCCCGTCTCTAGGCCTCCCCAATCCCGTCTCTAGTCTTTCCCAATCCCGTTTCTAGTCCTCCCCAATCCCGCCTCTAGTCCTCCCCAATCCCTCTCTAGTCTCCCCAATCCAGTCTCTAGTCCTCCCTCCCCATTCCCGTCTCAGTCCTTCCCCCAATCCCCGTCTCTAGTCCGCCACAATAGCCGTCTCTAGTCCTCCCCAATCCTCTCTAGTCTTCCCCAATCCGTCTCCCCCCCCCCCCTAGTCCTCCCCAATCCGATCTCTAGTCTTCCCCAACCTGTCTCTAGTGCTCCCCAATCCGTCTTTAGTCTTCCCCAATCCATATCTAGTTCTTCCCCGTTCCGGTCTCCAGTCCTCCCCAATCCCATTTCTATCCTCCTCAATACCCGTCTCTAGTCCTTCCCCGTCCCGTCCTAGTCTTTCCCAATCCCCTATCTAGTCCTCCCCCAATCCGTCATCCTAGTCCTCATCCCAATCCCGTCTCTAGTCCTCCTATTCCCCCCCAATCCCGTCTCTAGTCTTCCCCAATCCCGTCTCAAGTCTTCCCCCCAATCCCGTCTCTATCCTCCCCAATCCCGTCTCAAGTCTCCCCAATCTACGTCTCGTGCCCCCCAATCCCGTCTTTAGTCCTTTTCCCCAATCCCATATCTAGTCTTCCACAGTTCTGTCTCTAGTCCTCCCCCAACCCATTTCTTTTCTAGTCCTCCTCAATCCCGTCTCTATCCTTTCCGAATCCCCTCTCAGCCTCCCCAATCATCTCTCTAGTCCCTCCCCGAAAAAAACCCCAATCCCGTCTTATCCTCCCCAATCCCGTCTCTAGTCCTCCCCAATCCCGTCTCTAGTCTTCCCCAATCCCGTCTCTAGCCCTCTCCAATCTCGTCTCTAGTCCTCCCCAATCTCGTCTGTAGTCCTCCCCAATCCCGTCTCTAGTCCTCTTCAATCCCGTCTCAAGTCCTTCCCAATCCCCGTCCTCTATCCTCCCCAAATCCCGCTCTAGTCCTCCCCAATCCCGTCTCTAGTCCTCCCCAATCCCGTCTCTAGTCCTCCCCAATCATCTCTTTAGCCCTCCCCAATCCCGTCTCTAGTCCTCCCCAATCCCAACTCTAGTTCTCCCCAATCCCGTCCTCTAGTCCCTCCTCAATCATCCCGTCTTCAAATCCTCCGCCCAAATCCCGTCTTAGTCCTCCCCAATCATCTCTCTAGTCCTTCCCAATCCCGTCTCTAGTTCTCCCCAATCCCGTCTCTAGTCTTCCCCAATCCTGTCTCTAGTCCTCCCCAATCCCGTCTCCTAGCCATCCCCAATCCCGTCTCTAGTCTCCCCAATTTCCGTCTCAGTCCTCCCCATCCCGTCTCAGGTCTTCCTTCCCCAATCCCGTCTCTAGTCCTCCTCCCCAATCCCTCTCTAGTCCTCCCCAATCCCTCTAGTCCTCTCCCCAATCACCCAGTCTCTAGTCCTCCCCAATTCCTGTCTCTAGTCCTTCCCCAATCCCGTCTCTAGTCTTTTCCCCAATTCCCGTCTCTAGTCCTCCCTCAATCCCGTCTCTTTTCCTTCCCAATCCCTCGCTAGTCTTTCCCCCCTATCCCGTTCTCTAGTCCTCCCCAATTTCGTGTCTCTAGTCCTCCCTAAACTCCCCAATCCAACTCTAGTTTTTCCTCTATCGCCGTCTCTAGTCCCCCTAAATCTCGCCTCTAATCATCCCCAATCAAGTTCTTTAGTCCTCCACAATCATCTCTCTAGTCCTTCCCAATCCCGTCTCTAGTGCTCCCCAATCTCACCGTCTCTAGTCTTCTCCAGTCCCCGTCTCTAGTCCTCCCTCCCCATCCCGTCTCTAAGAGCTCCCCAATCCCGTTCTTCTAGTCTTCTTCCAGTTCCGTCTCTAGTCCTCCCCCAATCACCGTCTCAGTCCTACCCATCCCGTCTCTAGTCCCTCCCAATCCCGTCTCTAGACCTCTCCCCAATCCCGTCCAAGTCCTCCTCGCCAATCCCCAACTCTAGTTGTTTCTCTGATCCCCAATCCCGTCCTAGTCCTCGCCCAATCCCGTCTCTAGTCCTCCCCATCCCGTCTTTTAGTCATCCCCAATCATCTCTCTTGTCCTTCCCAATCCCGTCTTCAGTGCCTCCCCCAATCCCGTCTCTAGTTTTCCTCCCCAATCCCGTCTCTAGTCCGCCCCAATCCCTCAGCTCTGGTTTCTCCCCAATCCCGTCTCTATTCCTCTCTCCATCTCCCCCAATCCGTCTCTAGGTCCTCGGCCAATCCCGTCTCTAGTCCTCCCCAATCCCGTCCTCTAGTCCTCCCAAATCCGTCTCTAGTCTCCCCAATCCCGGTCTCTATCCTCCCCAATCCCAACCTGGTTTCTCACCCAATCTGTCTCTAGTCCTCCCCAATCCCGTCTCTAGTCCTCCCCAATCCCGTCTCTAGTCCTCCCCAATCCCGTCTCTAGTCCTCCCCAATCCCGTCTCTAGTCCTCCCCAATCCCGTCTCTAGTCCTCCCCAATCGTTTTTCAATTGATAATCATCTTTCTTATTTTGACTTGGCTGTCCTCTGCTGTATTTTTATTATTTGTCAGCACAACAGATGTTTGGGCCTTCATTTGTCAGTACAACAGATGTTTGGGCCTTCATTTGTCAGTACAACAGATGTTTGGGCCTTCATTTGTCAGTACAACAGATGTTTGGGCCTTCATTTGTCAGTACAACAGATGTTTGGGCCTTCATTTGTCAGTACAACAGATGTATGGGCCTTCATTTGTCAGTACAACAGATGTTTGGGCCTTCATTTGTCAGTACAACAGATGTTTGGGCATTCATTTGTCAGTACAACAGATGTTTGGTGGCCCTCATTTGCAGTACAACAGATGTTTGGCCTTCATTTGTAGTACAACAAGATTTGGGTTTTTTGGGCCTTCATTTTTCAGCACAACAGATGTTTGGGGGCCTTCATTTGTCATACAACAACAAATGTTTGGGCCTTCATTTGTCAGTACAAAACAGATTATGGGCCTTCATTTGTCAGTACAACAGATGTTTGGGCCTTCATTTGTCAGTACAACAGATGTTTGGGCATTCATTTGTCAGTACAACAGATTGTTTTGGGCCTTCTCTGTCAGTACAAACAGATGTTTGGGCCTCATTTTGTTCAGTACAGAAAACAGATGTATGGGCCTCATTTTGTCAGTCAACAATGTTTGGGCCTTCATTTGTCATACAACGATGTTTGGGCTTCATTCAGTGCAGCACGACGGGTGAGCAGGTGGAGAGGAGGGGGTGCCTACATGGGGGTTGGGTCATACAACAGATGTTTGGCCTGTTCATTGTCCAGTACAACAGATGTATATGGGCCTTCAATTGTCAGTACAAACCAGAATTGTTTGGGGCCTTCATTTGTCAGTACAAACAATGTTTGTTTGGGCATTCCATTGCAGTACAGCAAAGATGTTTTGGGCCTTCATTTGTCAGTACAACAGATGTTTGGGCCTTCATTTTGTCAGTACAACAGATGTTGGGGCCCTTCATTTGTCAGTACAAACAGATGTTTGGGGCCTTCATTTGTCAGTACAACAGATTTAGGAGCATTCATTGTGTCAGTACAACAGATGTTTGGGCCTCCATTTGTCAGTACAACAGATTTTGGGCCTTCATTTTGTCAGTACTACAGATGTTTGTTTGGGACCTTCATTTGTCATACAATCAATGTTTGGGGCATTCATTGTCAGTACAAAGATTGTTTGGGCCTTCATTTGTCAGTACAACAGATGTTTTGGGGCCTTCATGTTCAGTACAACCAGATGTTTTGGGCGGCCGTAATTTGGTCAGTAACAAACAATGTTTGGGCCTTCCATTTGTCAGTCAACGATGTTTTGGGGCCTTCATTTGTCAGTACAGCAAAACGATGTTGGGCCTTCATTTGTCATTACAACATATGTTTTGGGTGTGTTGGGGGCCTTCATTGTCATAACAAACATATGTTTGGGCCTTCATTTGTTCAGTACAAACAGATGTTTGGGCGTTCATTGTCCAGTACAACAGATTTTGGGCATTCAATTTGTCAGTACAACAATGTTTGGGCTTAATTTGTCAGTACAACAGATGTTTGGGCTCTCAATTGTCATGCAACAGATCTTGGGCCCTTCATTTTGCTGACAACAGATGTTTTTTTTTTTGGGTCTTAATGTTTATCTGTATAACAGATGTCCTTGGGCTTCTTATTTCTCTACTAACAGATGTTTGGCTTCATTTGTCTGACAACACATGTTGGGGGCCCTTCATTTATTCGTGGTAACAGATGTTTGGCCCTTCATTTGTCTGTAACAAAACAGATGTTTGGGCTTATTTTTCTTGTAACAGATGTTTGGCCCTTCATTTGTCTGTACAACAGATGTTTGGGCCTTCATTTATTGGGCATTCATTTGTCTGTACAACAGATGTTTGGGCCTTCATTTATTGGGCATTCATTTGTCTGTACAACAGATGTTTGGGCGTTCATTTGTCATTTATTTCCTCAGGTGGTATCACGTGTGCTTCACCTACGACCACCTGAAGCACCTGTACAACACCTTCATCAACGGGGAGCTGGTATGTGTATTAGTCAGCGATGCCAGGCGGCCAGTCTATGGTGACTACGCTCGTGTTGGCCAGGCTGGTGTAGCCAGCACCAGCTTCAGTGGTGCTGTGTCACAGGTCAGTCTCTATACCCATGGTGTGGGTGGTAGTCACCACATACTCATGGTGTGGGTGGTAGTCACTACATACTCATGGTGTGGGTGGGTAGTCACTAATACTCATGGTGGAGGGTGGGTAGGTACACCTACTCATGGTGTGGGTGGTAGTCACGACATACTCATGGTGTGGGTGGTAGTCACTACATACTCATGGTGTGGGTGGTAGTCACGACATACTCATGGTGTGGGTGGTAGTCACGACATACTCATGGTGTTTGTGGTAGTCACCGACATACTCATGGTGTGGGTGGTAATGCACGACATACTCATTGTGTGGGTGGTAGTCACGACATTACTCATGGTGTGGGTGGTAGTCAACGACATAACTCATGGTGTGGTTGTAGTCACGACATTACTCATGGTGTGGTGGTAGTCACGACATACTCATGGTGTTGGTGTAGTCACTACATACTCATGTGTGGGTGGTAGTCCACCTACTACATCATGGTGTGGGGGTAGTCACGACATACTCATGGTGTGGGTGGTAGTCCACGACTTACTCATGGTGTGGTGGTAAGTCACGACATACTCAGGTGTGGGTGGTAGTCACCGACATACTCATTGTGGTGGTGGTAGTCACGACAACTCATGGTGTGGTGTTAGGTCACTACATACTCATGGTGTGGGTGGAAGATCACGACATACTCTCCATGGTGTGGGTGGTAGTCACGACACACTCATGGGTGGGTGGTAGTCACGACATACTCATGGTGTGGTGGTAGACACGACAACTCATGGTGTGGTGGTAGTCTTCGACAAACTTCATGGTGTGGGTGGTAGTCACTACATACTCCATGGTGTGGGATAGCCACGACATAATCATGGTATGGGTGGTAGTCACGACATAACTCCATTGTGTGGGTGGTAGCACGACAACTCAAGTGTGGGTGGTATTCACTACATACTCATGGTGTGGGTGGTAGTCACACATACTCATGGTGTGGGTTGAGTCACTACATACACATGGTGTGGGTGGGTATCACGACATACTCATGGTGTGGGTGGATAGTCACTACATACTCATGTGTGGGGTAGTCACGACATACTCATGGTGTGGGGTGGTAGTCACGACCATACTCATGGTGTGGGTGGTAGTCACGACATACTCATGGTGTGGGTGGTAGTCACTACATACTCATGGTGTGGGTGGTAGTCACTACATACTCATGGTGTGGGTGGTAGTCACTACATACTCATGGTGTGGGTGGTAGTCACGACATACTCATGGTGTGGGTGGTAGTCACGACATACTCATGGTGTGGGGGTGGTAAAGTCACGACATACTCATGGTGTGGGTGGTAGTCACGACATACTCATGGTGTGGGTGGTAGTCACGACATACTCATGGTGTGGGTGGTAGTCACGACATACTCATGGTGTGGGTGGTAGTCACTACATACTCATGGTGTGGGTGGTAGTCACTACAATACTCATGAGTGGGTGGTAGTCAACGACATACTCATGGTGTGGGTGGTAGTCACGACATACTCATGGTGTGGTGTAGTCACGACATACTCATGGTGTGGGTGGTAGTCACGACATACTCATGGTGTGGGTGGTAGTCAAAAGATTACAGAGGCACACAATAGGTGCATGGAATGTAGCTCAACGTTACAAAGGTACATAATGGGTCCAGGGACTGTACTTGAACATTACAAAGGTACATAATGGGTCCAAGGACTGTATCTCAACATTACAGAGGTACATAATGGGTCCAAGGACTGTCCCTCAACAATACAGAGGAGCATAATAGGTCCAAGGACTGTACCTCAACATTACAGTAGTTATGAACTATTGACATGTTTACTCCTGGTTACAATCGTAAAGTTTTTTATACAGACAAGAATTAACTAACAAAGCTATTACAGCGTAGCTTATATCTGGTTTTAAAATTATTATATAACCTTGAATTTTAGCAAATTATACTTGAATTTAAACTAGTTGAAGTGGTTATGCATTATTAACAGTGGGCAAAATCAGGGTATTTTTCCATTATGGTTGGTATTATACCACTGTGGATAAAATACTCTTGACATTTCCTGTACATGTCTGAGTGAGCTGAAGTTGACTGTGTTCTGTCTGGGGAAAAATGGTTTTCTAGCAAGTATTCTGGATATGAGGAGGTTAGGTTAGGTCAGGTGTGTCAGGAAACAGGACAAATGTTTCCTAACGTGGGTCTTAGTTATATAGCGACCCGGAACTGGAGCTTTTGGTCATCTAACCGAGGCCTTCCGCTGGCTTACCGGTCCACCCCTTTAAAAATTAGGTTTATTTCAATTCTGTCGTCTGTTGAAGAAGACGACACAAGACAGTGACTGGAACAGTACACAAGTAACCCACATATAGGAGAGAGAAGCTGACCACGACGTTTGGGCCTGACTTGGGCCATTCACAAGCCACAGTGTGACTTGTGAATGGCCCAAGTCGGAGCGAAACGTCGTCGTCAGCGGGTTATTTGTCCATCGACTGTTGCCAGGATGGGACTTCCTGAAGATTAGTGTGTCATCCGTGAAGCCCAGGAGATAGATGTTGACAAGTGTTGCGATGGACAACACCACCAGTGTTGACAACGGTACAAAATACCAACGAGTTGATGAGTAAGACACAACAGTTGGTGATCTTTATTGTTGAAACGTTTCGCCTACACAATAGCGTTCTTCAGTCCAATACAGGAGCAGGAGGAGTGGAGAGATAGGGATGATGAAATCAGTCCCTCAGCCTTGAAGTAATAGTTCGAGGCGGTCAGTCCCTCAGCCTGGGGAGAAGAGCTCAGCTTTATGGTCTAGGACAGACCATGAAGGCATAGAATGTTACAATATGTGTCATAATATGTCAGAATGTTAGAGAATGTTAGTGTCATAATATGTCAGTGTTACAGTATATGTCATAATTTGTCAGATTATTACAGAATGTTACAATATGTGCCTTAATGTTACAGTTTGTCACAGTATGTGTAATGTGTCAGAATGTTACAGCATGTGTCAATGTTGCAGAATGTTACAGTATGTGTCATAATGTTTCATAATGCCACAGTATGTGTCATGTGTCAGAATGTTGCAGTATGTGTCATGTGTCAGAATGTTACAGTATGTGCCACACTGTGTCAGAGTGTTACGGAATGTCACAACATGTGTCAGAATGTTACAGTATGTTTCAGAATGTAACAGTATGTGTTAGAATGTCGCAGAATGTTACAGTATGTGTCAGAATGTTATAGTACTCACTAATTGTGGTTGCAGGGGTCGACTCATAGCTCCTGGCCCTGCCTCTTCACTGGTTGCTACTAGGTTCGCTCTCCCTGCTCCATAAGCTTTATCATACCTCTTCTTAAATTTATGTATGGACCCTGCCTCCACTACATCACTTTCCCGACTGTTGCACTTCCTGCCAACTCTATGACTGAAGAAATACTTCCTAACATCCCCGTGACTCACATTCACCTTGTCAGTTCCTCTCAGAATTTTATATGTCATCATTAAGTCCTCCCTAACCCTCCTGTCTTCAAGTGTCAGGTCGATTTTCCTTAACATCTCCTCGTAGGACGTTCCCCTTGGCTACAGGATTAGTCTTGTTGCAGACCTTTGCATCTCTAATTTCTTGACGTGCTTGACCAGGTGTGGGTTCCAGACTGGTGCTGTATGCTATCAGCCTGACGTATACGGTATACATTCTTTAACAATTCCTTACTGAAGTGTCGGAATGCTATTCTTAGATTTGCCAGGTACCCATATGCTGCAGCAGTTATTTGGTTGATGAGCGCCTCAGGAGATGTGCTTCATATTATACTCACCCCAAGATCCTTTTCCTTGAGTGAGGTTAGTAGTCTTTGAGCCCCTAGACTGTACTCTGTCTGCGGTAATCTTTGCCCTTCCCCGATCTTCAAGACTTCGCACTTGTTGTGGTTAAACTCTAGGAGCCAGTAGCTAAACCAAGCTTGCAAACTGTCCAGATCCCTTTGTAGACCTATCTGATCTTCACCTGAGTGAATTCACCTCATTAGCTTCACATCATCTGCAAACAAGGACGCTTCTGAGTCTATCCCTTCCATCATGTCATTCACTTATACCAGAAACAGCACTGGTCCTAGGACTGAGCCCTGTGGGACCCCGCTCGTCACAGGCGCCCACTCTGACACCTCGTCATGTACCATGACTCGTTAAGTCCCTGTCAGGTATTCTCTGATCCACTGCAGTGCCCTTCCTGTTATAATTGCCTGATCCTTTAGCTTTTGCACTATTCTCTTGTGGGGAACTGTGTCAAAAGTCTTATTACATTCCAAGAATATACAGTCTACAACCCCCCCCCTCTTATGTGTCATAATATGTCAGAACGTCACAGAACGTCATAGAATGTCACAGAATGTTCCAGAATGTCACAGAGTGTCTCAGAATGTCACAGAATGTCTGAGAATGTCATTTGTCCAGTAAGTAAATGGAAGTTTTAATATCGGCACTCTAAAAATTATTTGTATGCAAATGAGGTCAGATATTATGCAGTTCTAGGTTATGTAGACTAGTGCATGGATGTTAGGGTTGTAGACCAATATTTACAGTAGATACTACAGCTGTAGATCAATAATTACTGTAGATACTACAGTTGTAGATTAATACTTACTGTAGATACTACAGTTGTAGATCAATACTTACTGTAGATATTACTGCTGTAGATCAATACTTACTGTAGATATTTACAGTTGTAGATCAATACTTACTGTTGATATTACTGCTGTAGATCAATACTTACTGTTAGATATTACAGTTGTAGATCAATACTTACTGTAGATATTACTGCTGTAGATCAATACTTACTGTAGATATTACAGTTGTAGATCAATACTTACTGTAGATATTACAGTTGTAGATCAATACTTACTGTAGATATTACTGCTGTAGATCAATACTTACTGTAGATATTACAGTTGTAGATCATACTTACTGTAGATACTACAGTTGAAGATCA